TCTATAAGGATTACCTAATCTTCAATAACCTTTTATGAGTATGGTTTTCATATAATTTAGTCCTCATATTAATTTATCATAAGTGTGATCTCAAACTTGACTTGTTATCTATTCGATCCCGATCACATAAGTTTTCTTCGATCTTTGATCGTCTTGGCTCTTAAGTAAACCAATCATGCTCTATTGGTATACTTCCACTATGGCCATAGATTTTTGAGTAGACATTCATCAAAATACAATATGATAACTCGCTTTAACATATAAGGAATGACATGTGATAACTCCTTTAACATATAAGGAATGATATGTCTTATCTCATTTATCCATTTATTTCCATTAAATTCCTAATTCACCTAACGAATCACCCATATGCAGACTCTTTATCGAGTCCATCAAAACAAATGTTAAAGTACACTAATCCTCTAATGAGATAATCGTGATGACTTTAAGTTAAATAACTACTTATACTAATCTCTTATGAGATTATCATAGACTATACCAATTGGGTCCTCATGATGAGTCACATCTAATAATATATTCTCTAATATTATTCACCAATGTACTTGCTTTGGCATCACCATGCAATAGGTATGAGATGTTCTATTGTTACCTTATAGTAAGACCATAGCACTCATAAATAATATCATATATTGTTAATATCCAATCTTGATAATTCTAAGACTTGAGAATGTTTATCTCCCATCTATTAATTAATTATGAATGAAAATGCACATCATATGGATTTTTATCTCATTCTATCAAGTTATAAAAATAAAAATTAAGAGAAAGAATTCTTTATTAATATTAAAAATATAATGATACATTATTTCAAATCATCCAAATAGGTTGAATCTTAGCACTTATACTAACATGTTGTTAATCTATAAAATATGTTTGGGTTAATAATAAATCATGGATCTTTTACATTAACACCAAGTAAAACCAACAATATTTTGATTCTATGCATTTTTTATTTTTTTTCCTAATTGTGTTATATTATAACGCACTCGTCCTAAAATTTATGATTTAAAATATTTTTTATAGTGTTGATGAGAAGATAAATTTTTAAAAGTATGTTTATTAAGTTTATATACATATATTTTTATAATAATAATAATAATTAATTTTATAAAAGTGCATAAAAAATTCATTTAAAAAAGTATGGTACCATCGAGTGTTGTTTTTAAAATATATGTTTTTTATTATTTTATTTGAGAAGAATTGATTTAAAAATATTCATTTTCAAAAAGTTAATATTAAGCATGTTTTTTTATATATATATATAAACAATCAATTTGCAACTAAAAAAAATTATAAAATTAATTTTGATATTAATTTCATTATAAATAATATAATAGCAATTTTATCATCCTTTTAGCACTCAAACATTTGATCAAATGAATTGCCATAGCACAAAAAAAAAAAAAAAGCACACAAAATCAATACGAGATGCATATAGATTTGAACTACAATTCAATGTAGAAAAAATAATTCTTGAAAAACAAAACCAACCATCAAATATAATTTTTCGAAGGAAAGCGTAAAGGCAAGTTTCAATTTATCGAAAATCCTAGAAAAAATATTTATAAATTTAATTGTTTATTTCATAAGACCGCATCAAGAAAATAAAGGAACAATTACTTTTTTTTAAAAAAATTGCATAAAAATTTAAAGACTTAAAATAAAATTTTATAATATTAATGAGAATATTAATTTTTAAAAGTATTATATTAGGTTTATTATATAGATTTAAAAAAATGAGCATTTTTTTTAAGAAAGCATAAAGTGTTTCCGGACTACAACTTTAGACACAAAAATAAAATCATCATATATATACTCAAAATAATAAATAATATTAGAATAAAAAACTCTATTTAAAAAATATGGTACCATTGGGTATTTTTTTAAATTCATCCGAGAGGATTTGATTTTAAAATATTCATTTAAAAAAGTAAATATCAAGTGTTTTTGTGTATATGAACAATCAACTCGCAATTAAGAAACTAAACAATTTTTTTTTAAAGAAAGCATAAAAGTGTCTTTAGACTATAATTTTGGACACAAAAATAAAATCGCTGTATCATATTTATAAAATCATTTAGTTTCTTATACCCAATACAATTCTTTTTAATGCACTCTTTTTATATAGGCTAGGAAGAAATTAGTTGAAAATAATAATGAAGGAGTTCCTTAAATTGCAAAGTAAATTATAAATTAGTCTCTCTTGTTTCGAGAAATTAATTAATTAGTCTTTTTAATTTCAAAAAGAAATATTTAATTATTTTAATCAGTATTGATTACGATAATTTTTTTAATTATAAAACATATTATTTTTTCATCAATCTTTTCATATTTTCACTTATTTTTTATTTCTTTTCTATATGTTAAAGGAAAAAAATAAATCGAAAAATGCAAAAAAATTAAATAATCAATTTTTAAAATTATAGAAACTAATTGATTTGTTTGTGGAAACAACAGGGACCAATTTATAATTTATTCTCTATTGCATTTCTTGCCTGCCACAACAAAGAAAGAGGAAAAAAACAATGAATGACAGAGCATTAAATGCTTTGTTTAAAGCAAAAGGAAACGATCATAAAAAAAACGGAAGAAGAAAATTAAAAGCAAATTAATGAAGAGTAAATATCAAATTTTATAATTCCACCTTGTGGTATGATAGAAATTAAAAGGAAAATGGAAGGGCTTTTGTATGGAAAGAAAAAAGAAAAAAACTTACCTGGATAATGTTTATCCGCAACTGAAGTGATTGACGATACAGTGTTGATTGAACCGATTTCGGTAACCAAAACTGGTAATGGTGGTGTTAATGCTGCCGAGAGAAAGAAGAATGGGAAACAGGAAACTGATGGAAAAAAGGCGAAAAGGCTACGGAGAAGGGGAAAGGTTGCAACAAAGGGTTTGGAGACAAGTGATGGGAAAAATAAAGTGACGCGAGTTGGTGAAGCTCAAAATAGAACAATACATGCTGGTGAAATTCGAAATGGCTGCGAAACAGATGGGGATCAGATGACGAGGAAGTACTCGAGGGTAGAAATGGAGGCCCTGAGGTTTGCAAATATTGTAGAACAGCGAAAATTGTGGAGAAATGTATACACTGGACTTGGAGAAGATGTTTGGAGGGGTATAAAGACTTGGCAAGGTCAAAGCATCAGAAGAACGATTGCTTGAACTTCAATCCCTGGGAGCGTTTTGGAAGGAAGGAACCTGGTATTCTTGGTAACTGTTCTTCTTCTACTTCTTCTTTCCGTGTTGTAATACCACAATTTTTAAATTATTTGTGCATCTTGGATTGCACTTATGATTTGTTAATATATTTGATTCTTGCTTCATGTGATGTTCTTATTTAGAAGAGGCATTGGCATCTCTTTGACCTATATAATTGAATGCTATGATCACTATTTAAAAGGCTTACTGACAGGTATTGGGTTATGGCGTGCTATTTTGATGAAATAGGAATAACTTAACACACTCTTATTATTACGAACTCTGTTAAGTGCACTGATTCTTTCTGTTTCACATTTCGGTTTAAACTTCACTGGATCATTTTCAATAGAGTGTATGAAGAGTATTGGAGTCTACCTTAACCTAAGATGATCCATTTTTGGATGGGTAAGAGGGGGGCAAAAAAATAAAAAAATAAAAAAAAATCAAAGTTAAGCAGATAAGCTTGTAAAAAGTCAAACTCTTGCATGCTTGTCCAGGAATAGGTCTCCATTGACTTTCTGATAACTTGATCTAGGATATAAGATAGTGAGTGTTATCATCACTGTAACTAAATAGTTGGTTTGAGTCAACCTTAGTAGGACTTGCAAACAATGGAACATTTATTTAGTGCAGATGAAATGCCAAGCACCTGATTTGAAGAACAGAGAGCAGTTCCATTTGGTTCTGCAGATGATGCTTTAACAAAATGCCTGAAAATTTGAGTTTTAAATTGCTGCCTTTTGTGCGGCTTCTGTTACTAAAACCTGCTTTTTTCCTTTTGTTTCCATTGGGCCCTAATGTTATTTTAACCCTATGATTGCTTCAAACTTGTACTCTTGTATTTCCAGTTTGATAACTGAACTCAAAAAATGTACTCTTGATGATCATGTTAGTTTCCCTTTTTTCTTAATGATCCGAACATCAAAACTCTTGTTGCTGGTGTTTGTTTTTCTTCTCTTGAATGGCAGTTCCTTTTTCTGTTTGCTTTGAATTCAGCAGCTCCGATTTACACTTATTTTGTTTTTTTTTTCTTCATCCCATTTTCTTTCTCATTTTTTTTTCAAATTCTGTTGTATTATTATTTTTTTTCCTAATTTTCACACTCTCATTTTCTCAACTAGTTTGGAATTGAGGGTTTGTTTGTTCATTTTGTTCTCACTTCCCCCTTTTTCTACCTTTCTGGTTTTTGGCTCCTTTTGTTTGAAAATAAAACAGGTAAATTCATCATAAAGATTTTGAAATCCAATGAAATGCTTTCTTTTGTCCATCCCTTCCCTCTGAATTCAGCTCTTATTTTGTCAATTTGATTGGTTCATTTTCTGTTTGGGCAGATGCGGTTGCAGCGAGGGGAAGATGGAACCATTTGAATGAATTTGCACATTGAAGAATATAGCCTAAAGGAATCTTGCTAAAGTCCTTTTGTGCAACATATCTACGCATATCTGTCAAACTTTTAGGCTACTAATTGCTGTTTGTATGCTACTTGCATATAGTCATTGTACATGGAAATTCTTTCCAGTGGCTAGCCTAGATCTTTTGAGAGCCTAGTGTCGTCGTACAATAGGGTCCGTTGCATTCTTTTGTAACCGAAAACTAATAAAGAGATGCTACCTGGCTACTTTTTGGTGAATGAACAGAATGTTGTGCCTGTTACAGTTATTTCCCCGTATCATCTTTTTGTTGCTCTCTGGCTGAAATACCATTGTGTATTTATTTATTTATTTTGGGATCAAGATTACCATTGTTATAAGAAATGTTTGAGGGACTCTAAATTTATGAGATTAATCTCAGGGGAAGAATCTTCTGAAAATGTGGATGGTGGATTAGAAAACATGGAAGGAGATGGCGTACAAAATGTGGATCTCTTGGATCCTGGTTGCAGTAGAAGTATTCAAGGTGAAGGTGCGGACGCAGTTTTGGAGGAAGAGTATGGTGAGGAAGATGACAGTGACAATGATTATGCTAGCATTCAGAGACCTGCTTTTGTTGTAGAAGGAGAACCAGATTTTGATTCTGGACCCTCAGAGGATGGATTAGAATTTCTTAGGCATGTCAGGTACCATTCAATATCCTACTTTTTTGTACCATTCAATATCCTACTTTTTTTTTCTTTCCCAATTATCGATGCTATTGTTAAAATCAGAAGAATGAATGCTGTCTGCCAAGAGGGAAGTCTGATGAAAACGTTGAAGTTCTAACGTAGTTTATCAGACTGAACATAAAATTGTAATCTTAGCATCAAACTGATATTTCTTTCTTCTTCTGTTTAGGTGGGAGGCTGCTCATATTCCAAAAGTAAAAGTAGCCAAGCTTGATAGGAGTAGAATTTACAAAGAACAAACTGTTTATATGCCCCAGATTCCTGACATTGCCAAGCGTCCAGAGTATTTGTTGCTGTCGAAGCAGTGGGAGGATGCATTTCTTGCTGATTTTTCAGAGCTGCGACTGGTATATTTGGTGTTAATATGCTTTGTGTTTATGTGGTATTTTTATTGGCTTAACAACTCTATTTGACTGTTTTAGCTGAAAATGGGGGAAAGTTCACCTCTCTTTAAAATGAACCTGTATCTCTGTTTTAGCTGAAAAGATTTTCTGAAGTTGCTTGTGTAAAAATGTTGCATGTTTAATTGATGTGAGAGATATACATCCTTGGATCCTTTTATTTTCTTTTTTAACCGTGCCTTCAAAAATGGAAGAGCGCTGATTTTTTCTTGACGGAAGATTTGTGACTTTAGAGAAGGAGAACTGTATAGTATTCATTTGGGCATATGGTAGGAAAAACTCGAGGTTAGCTTGATATTTGGGAACCCAAAGGAGATATATTAAGGTCCTTAAGAATCCTGCCTGCTAGGTCATAAAAATATAACAAGAATAATAGAAAATACAGCACTAATGTAGAGAACTGACTTTGTTTTCTTTCACTGAATTTCAGTTTTTGTCTCAAAATGACGGTTCCAGCTCTAAAATTTCCCAGAAGATGCAACCAGCAGCTACTGTTCATGGGAGTTCCTCCTCTCAGCTTGCTGAAAGTATTATTGTTGAAAAATTCAATAACCTTAGAACTGATGAAGTCCAATCCTGCAAACCTTGTAATACTTCCAGCGCTGAGAACACCGTTGATCAGCCATGCATGGTGAATATTGAAAATTGTAAAAGCCTAATATTTTCTCAGAATCCAACTCCTGAAGCTTCGTCTGGTGTAGCTTTATGCAACTACCCTACCTTATCTGAGATTTTAGCTATGGAATGTGTTGCTCGAGTTCGGATGCTGAGGCAGCGCATAAAATTGGCAGAAACCATGGACGTGCTGTCAAAGAACGACTGCGTGTGGCTATTTGCCTTATGTGCAGCGGTTGATGTTCCACTAGATGCTGACACATGTGCTGCTCTTTGGGTTCTGCCCCGGAAATGCACTAGCTTGCGAGCTAGCAAATCTGAACTTGATGATGAAGTTATCATGCTGAATATTCTTGCCACAATTTCGGGCAGGTACTTTGGACAGTCTGAAAGCTGAAGCTTCTCCGTCCAACTAAATTATGTGAATTTCAAGGAGTACATTTATTTTCTTGTATTTGAGTGTTTTATATCTTACAAACACAGCAAGTTGCTTACATTTTTGAATCTGTACCGAAAATTACTTCCTTTTGTTCGGAGGCAAAGTAAATGCTTTAGAAATTTGGGGCTGCTTGATTCGCTATTTATTTTTCTCTATTATAATCTCCAGCCCGAAAAACTGCAAACAGAGCTTGGGTCAGATGGCTGACCCCATCCCCATTATCTCAATAGCTTGGTGCAAGCTTGCTCCATTACAAGAATTGAGAAAAGGATGTCAAAAAAAGGGGTAGCTCCAAGATTGATTCTAACAAGAGTATTAATCATCGCTGTATTTTTTGTTTTTCACTCTTATATTACCATCATTTGATTTTCTTGAGCTAGTTTTTGTGAATTTTGAAATTGAAATCATTTTCCTTGAAAAAACCATTCTTCTATCATCTAATGCTTTCTCACCATTATGCTTAAATTTTGTAAAAATGTATATATTTTTTTATAAATTATGTTTTATAATCGAACCGAAAATTAAAGTATCTAGGTTTAGATCTATGAGTAATCATTTCATTTCCATGGGAAAAAAAAAATGTTAAATTCAAAAACTCCAGCCCATTTTGGCCCCTCAGAATCGATCTGCTTTTAGAATAGCTGATGCACCAGCATACCGATAAATAAAAGTACCAAAAGTGAGAGAGGATCCGACCGGACCCGACCCGAAACGGAAAATGTCGATTGACCCGAAGAGGAAAGGATTTAACGAGCACCACTCCTCCAGCTTCACTGACCAAACTCTTGCTTCGTTCTCTGTCGCGTCTTAAGTCAAGAACGCCAAGCAACACCATCCCTGTCTCTTCTTTTCTCTTAAATCGGTACAGTAACAGTTTCCTTTCTCCTTTTTTTTCTTATGTCCTATATTTTCTTTTACAACATTTGTTGATTCTTTATCTAAGCGTAAATACGAAAATGGTGTTTTTTTTTTTTTTAAAAAACAATTTCTGGTGATCTGGGTGTGTTTAGCAGGTGTGGTTATTTATTGGTGGCTGGTTAAGGCAGAAGGGAAGGGCTTAGCTGTTTCTGGGTTTACTTTTAGAGAGTAAGTGAATTGATTGATTTATTTGTTATTTCTTTGATTGATAAAATTTAATTTTCTTCCATTTTGCTTTCTTAGTTGAAATTTTTTGGTCATGTTACTATAGAACATTGCATTTTCTTTTTTAGGGTTTATGTTTTGGGATAAATTATTCTGTGAACTTAGCTCCGTTTTTTTGTTGGCAAGGAATTAATTTTCTGTTTGTGTTATTTATATAGAATTATTAATTTACTTTTTCCTTAGTATTACTTTGATGGATATAATTTGGTTTTCACTCATTTGCTTTTTTTGCCAAAATTTTGTGGTTATGTTACATGTGCCAAAAAAAATTATGTCTGGAACTGACTATTTTTTTCTTACAAATTCTAGAACGTCAGGAGTTTAGTTGAACAGTTGCACTTACTGCATTTACACAGGCACTCTTTTGCTCCGATATCGATCAAAAAGCTGCAGATGAATGAAATACAAAATTAGATCAGGAGCTTCTAACAGTGAAGTGTTTGTGAATAAGAAATGTATATAAATGAATTGGGAATTCTATTGCCCGAGATATTAACTTGATTCCAGCCACTTACAACAGAAGTTACAATCACGCAAGTCCCTAGTGCAAACTATACCAATAAATTTGTAACTCAATACTACTTTTACATAAAAAAAAAAACAAAGAGCTGCTTCTCTAATATTAGAGTCTCATATTCATCAATTTTTTTTTTGTACATTTTTTGTTTCAACTGTTCCATCTAAATCAGTTGTTTTAGAGCTGTCCAATCGAGCATTGTTTTTTTTTTTTTTTTTTTTACAGTCTAAGCCATCTATCTGAAAAAATCCTAATAATCTCAGCAATTGAATCATGATATATAATTTCGTTTTATTCTAATCTCGGGGAGCCTTTTAGGGGTGAGCAAACGGTTCGATTAACCGAAAATTGAATAAAATCGAACCGAATTAAGAAATTCGGTTCGGTTTTAAATATAAAATTATATGATTTAAAATCGAATCGAAAAAATGAAAATTATTTCGCTTCGTTTCAATTTTTGAAAAAAAATTCAGGTTCGATCAAAAACCGAAATAAACAGTAAAAAATCTTAATTTCTTTTAAAACCCTAAGGTGTTGTTTGGTAATCCGAAATGAAGCACCAGAAATGAAAATTGACACTTCATTCCTTGATGATGAGGTGTTTGGTAATCAGAAATGATATGGAAATGGGAATATAAATAAGGAATGAGAATAAACTTTTCTTGTGATTTTATTATTTTTGAAAATTCAGGTTTAAATAGGAATGAGAATGTGAGAATAAGAAAAAAAAAAAAAAAGCACTATTGTTTTTTGTCTTAAAAATATCCTTAGCTTTTAATCAATATTACATTCATACCACTATAAATACTCCTCCAACAATACCTAATTAGCCACCAAACTTACAAACCCATCTCTCTCGCAGGTACTGCTTTCCCCTTTTCTCTCCCTGTTTTTTTTTTTCTTGAAACAAATCTAAATTGAAATTGTTTCTTATTCCCTTTAATCATAATTAGGTAGCCATCAAAATTGCAACATCATCTCTTTGGCTCAACAGGTAATCTATCTCTCTCTCTCTTTTTGTTTTTTGGCTCAACAGATAATCTTTCTCTTCCTATGATATATATATATTTTTTTTGATAATTTCATATTTTATCAGCATTAGATAAATGGGCAAGTAATAATTAGGATTTTTAGGATTTGTGGAAGAGATAATTTCATATTTTTTCTTTTTTCCTTTTTCCCGTTCTGATTCCCGTTCTGGGATTGAAGCAATAGTATATCCTGCTTAATGTTAGCTAGGGATTTTATTAGCAGCACTATTTTAACTTCTGGAGACATGAGTTTCGTACTTAGGTAAATATTTATATTCTTTGCAAACTACACCTATATATGTAAATATACATATATGATCGGGAGATTCAATTAGCAGGAATCTCAAAACTTAGTTAATTGTTGATTTTTTTTTTTTTTGTTGAGATATCAAATACAATAGTTAGTATCTTAACTTGATAGCCTAAAAATGATTGGTGCCTTTACTCGCTACCATATGAAAAGGGTTGGTATCTTACTTGTTCATTTAACCAAAGACTGGAAAGGTCTAATAATAAACGGTTTTTTACCCTTGCAAGTGTTCTTTTATATTCAAGTCTGATTATGGATAGATGCCTTGTGACTAACTGCTAGCATTGCATTAAAGAAAACAGAAAAATAGCTTATTGGCCACTTGATTTTTCAGCTGGGATTTCATTTGATATGTGCATCTGCTAGGCTTACTGCATTAACTTTTTAAGGCAGAATGTGAGAACTTAATTTTTTTATTTCTCCTTTTGATCTTAATGGGTGATTGAGGCAGAATGGTGTTATTGAAATGTTGATTTGCAATGACAAGGTTTCTTATTAGATCGAAATAGTTACAGGGGGCCTTATCTTTGTGGGGGCAAAAGTATATTAATTAGCTACAGCATCATAAAACAATAGTTTATATCCATACCCACTGGAAATTCTAGATGGGAAGTGGTGGTGCCTTTTCATCATGTCCAACACGATGACTAGACTGGATGGAAAATAGCAAAACAAAATGTTATGAATCATGTTTCATTGGTTGAACTCTCAGAAAGACCATTTTAATTGTAGGATACCCTCTGCACATGCAACAGATTGAATTGTTGTTTATTTCTTCTGACTAGTTCCCTCGTATTGCATGGTTTCCTTAGGCTTCATGTAGAAACTTCTTCGATATTCATTCAATCATTCTCACTGAAAGCCTGAAATTGAAACACGCAGTCACGAGTCTCTCTTGTTCTCCTTCTGTCTTCCACTCTTCCCTAGCCTCTTTCAGCTTCATTCCTTTCTTCTCCAGTCTCCAATCACCAGTTCTCCTTCAGTCCTTCTATCCCTCATTCCCTTCTTCGTTAGTTCTCCACTTCTGCCTTTGTCCTTCATCTGTCCTCCTTCATCTCACGATTATCACCTCATCGGTCATCACTCATCAGTCAGACAGTCACCACCCACCACCCTCCTCCTCGGCTCCTCCTACGTAGGCAGTCAGGCACTCAAGTACTCTACATCTCTTCCTCAACTGGCGATCTCTCCCAAGGTCAGTCTCTTTTACCTTTTTTTTTTCTGGTTCACCTCTACATATGTCTTATAGATCGTTGATTGATAAAAAATTGTATCAGATCAAATATTTCCTTTTGTGGGTTATTTCAATGTTGTTAATTTAAGAGCAATACACGATTTGTTCATTTGTTGTGTTTGGTCTAGGCTGGGTTTAGCATTAATGCAGATTCTTTTTCGAGGAATTATCTTTGAGAAGTGTTAATTTTGTTGGGATTTATTTTTGTTAGTTTTCATTAGTAACACTGAAAATTGTTTCTTTGATTGGTTTTTGATGTTAGATTTCTTTTGCTGTAATAAAGTTTTGATTTTGCTTTCATTTTCTCAAACTTCTCTTACAGCCAGCATTGTTTATCAATCAAAGAATTGAAAAGCTGTCTTTTTTTTTTTGTTTTTTTAATCTTTCTTGGGTTGTTTCGGCTTTGAATTTGAGGTATAAGGTTTTGAATTCTCCCCGTTTATTCATAATTTTCATCTGGAGTTTTCGTGTTTGATTTGATTTGATTTTTTTTAAAGAAGAATTGGAAAATGAGAATGGAATCTGAGATGGGGATATTTTATTTTCCAGGAGACGACGAATGCCAGGCGTCACCCTAGAAATGGAGCCAATAGAGCCACAATCACTGAAAAAACTAAGCTTCAGATCCCTAAAACGAACCCGCGATCTTTTCTCTCCTATTCACGGTCAGCTCGCTCCTCCTGATCCTGAAAGGTTGCAATTTTCAGTTCTTTTAAAATTTTAAATATCTCATTTCTAAAACCCTATCGATCTGTTTTTTTTTTTTTTTTTTTAGCTTATTAATTGTGATTTTGTTGTTATGTTACTGCAGTAGAAGAATTCGAATGAGCCACAAGGTTAGTTCAAAATCTCCCTTCGTTTCTTTGGTACAGAATTAGTGATTATCTTTGCTTTCTTAAAAGATTTATTATTGTAAAGTTGTATCGATAGCTGTGGATTTACTGGAATTTGTTGTGTAGATAAATGTGGAGTATAAGGGAATCAAAAGCGCTAGTGAAATCGCACCTCCACAAGTTAATTCTGCCGCAGCGGAAGCTTCAGGGTCTTCTAATGTCCTTGCTCTTACGGGTATTGATATATACGTGATTGCACTTTAACATGCTTAGGCTAATACCAGCACCAAGTATTAAATTAAATTCTGTTTTTTTTTTTCCTCATAATTGCTGATTCATTAAGACAAATAAATAAATAAATAAATAAATAATAAAAATCTCTTGATAATGAATTTGGTTGGTTTGGATTTTCGTTCACTGACTTAGTTATGATTCATTGATTGGTGATGTGCTTTTATTGTTTTTTTAGGTCCTAGTGATTCTAGTACTTCACAAAAAAGTGGAGCTCAAAATGCGTTGGTTGGTCCATCTTTGCAACCAAAGGCACCGTGAGCTTTCTCTCACTTTCTCTCTCTCTCTCTCTATTTATTTTTATTTTAATGATCAACATGAACAACAATGGCCCTTTTGATATATCTTACTTTTCTCATCTCTCCTGCTGGATATATTTTTTCTGATATTTCAACCATTTAATTTCGATGCATTTTATAATCAGCAAATGTGTTCATTTTGGAGTTATGTTTTGTTTGTCATCCCAGCCTTACTTGAAGAGGTCCTTGCTTGTTCCCACTTCTTCTCTGGAGGATAAACTGTACAAAACATATTTTTTAGTCCTAATTGGTATTGTCCCAAATAATATGACTATTTGGCTTACCATTTGCTTTCTGTTTTATAGGAATTTCTCAACCTTTGCTGTAATGGAAAGAATACCCAGCAAATGGCCACGCCCTGTCTGGCGTCCTCCATGGAAGAACTACAGGGTAAAATTTTTTCTACTCTTGTTAGGGAAGGTTTGTTGGCTGTGTGGGTACTTTGCTCAAATTTTACTTTCAAGTAATAAGTTATGTCTCTTTAGTTCCTTTCAAAAAAAGTGGTTCTAGTAGAACATGTCCAGTCTACATACAAATTTGTTACTGTGCATCTATTTGTTTCTTCTTCTCTTTTAGTCTAGTCCTTCTTAACATTGGATATGGCTATCTCTTCATACTTGCATTCACTCACAACAATGAATGTGCAGAAAGGTGGGCCAGAAAATTGGGGATGGAGTGGAAAAGATTAATTTCTATAATCATCCTATCAAATTAATTTCTATAATCATCCTATCATGTGTTGACTCTTGCTTACCTAAACTAGATGGCCAGTGTACTGCTGATTTTGTTGTATGAGCTCTTCAGTTGCCTACACATGCTTGGATGTTGATATTGCCGCATTGCTGCTTCTAATGCTGGGATATTTGTCTTTTTTCCATAAAAATATATCTTTGTAAAAGTTCCATTGGATAATTTTTCTACTGATCATCCATTGGTTACCTATGGTTTAGCTTTTTGAATGCATCTAGTTTGTGTTTAAATGTGGTATTCATCGCCCTTTGGTTGATTGTGCAGGTCATTAGTGGTCATTTGGGTTGGGTGAGATCTATTGCATTTGATCCAAGTAATACATGGTTTTGTACTGGTTCTGCAGATCGAACAATCAAGGTATTAAATTTTTAATGATGTTCAGTGATTTATTTATTTTGATGGCATGCACTGACTACTGGATAAGTGACCTTACAAGTACTTGTCTTGTTTGAAAGCCAACTAACTCATGATTATGGTTCACTTTCCCACCACCTCACTCTCTTTCGCATGTTCTGATAATCACCTCATTTCTCATTATATTACTGGATGTGAGGTTCAAATTCATTATTTGGGGTAACAAAATCCAGATCTTACTATGGAGCTAGATAAATATATGGTTTTACAAATTTTAAATCTCAGCATAATCAGTTTTCATAGTTGGATGTTCAGAAAATGTATTTTCGAGAAATAGCAAGATCTGACATACTTGACCATTTCAAAGCTGAACAGTCCATGAGAATTGAGTTCTGATGCAAAAGGATGGAGCCAGGAGATAATTACCAAAAATGTCATGAACTTTATATATGGTGTTGCAAAGGTTTTTATTTTTCAGGAGTGCCAAATTAGAGTCCTTCAATGACTGTTCCCCTGCATTATTTAGATTTTGGAGTATACACTAGACTAGGTTTCCCCCAGTATGTACGAGCAGCTTCTGATGACTTTTTTTTTGGTCTACCAGATATGGGATGTAGGAAGTGGAAGGTTAAAGCTCACACTGACTGGACACATCGAGCAAGTACGAGGTTAGTTTCTGATTAATCATTGCTGGTTGTTTATGGGTAATCATGCTGTTAGTGGCTTCAAATGTTGACACTGTCTCTCTTTGCAGGCCTTGCCATCAGCCAAAGGCATACCTACATGTTCTCCGCTGGTGATGATAAACAGGTTAAATGCTGGGACCTCGAACAGAATAAGGTGAAAACTTATACCTACTTAATGTATCCAGAGCTATAACGTGAGTGAATCTGCTTGTGAAACTCATGTTTCTGTGTAGGTTGTCCGGTCTTATCATGGTCATCTAAGTGGTGTTTACTGCTTGGCCCTTCATCCCACTATTGACCTTTTGCTTACTGGGGGACGTGATTCTGTCTGCCGGGTATGGGATTTATTCGTGTTATGTAGTTTTCTTCCTGCAATAGTGTGTGCAGTATGCTTGGCTATCCAGCTAATCAATATTTAAAATTCTTGCTGTTTTTTTCATATAGAAAGGTAACATGTCAAATTTATTCTCAGGTCTGGGATGTACGTACCAAGGTGCAGGTTTTTGCACTGTCTGGACATGATAACACAGTGTGCTCAGTTTTTACTCAACCTACGGTATGTGATTTCCCTATTATTTTTTGTTTCAGATTACATTTTTCTCTTGATTACCTATGCTGCCTCATGCAAGAAATTTTCAAATGAGATTATTGTTTATTAAGTGCAAGTCAAGACAGGGAAAAATTAAATTTGTTTTCTTCGTTTAAGCTCTTTTTTGTATCTCTAACATCATTGGTTAACTGTGTTTCTTTCTATATCCAGGATCCACAAGTGGTTACTGGTTCTCACGACTCAACTATTAAGTTCTGGGACCTTAGATATGGTAAAGTTATATTTCTTGTGAGGGTCCCTTTTACTTTTTCATTCTAAAGATTTTGCAAGTTTAGCTTATTGGTGTTCTTGGCTTGCAGGTAAGACTATGTTAACTCTTACACATCACAAGAAATCTGTGCGAGCCATGGCACTGCATCCGACCGAGTAAGTACATATGCCATGGATGTTACTTGCTAGATGATGCGGTATATTGTGATTTCCTTTTTATATATGCTCTATGTTTTTTGGTATGTGTGTGCACACATGCGCTGCAGGCATTGCTTTGCATCTGCATCAGCTGACAACATTAAGAAATTCAATCTTCCAAAAGGAGAATTTTTACACAACATGCTGTAAGTTCTCAAACACAAACATCTAGTTGCTTAAATTCTTCAGTCATGCACATGTGTACATACATATATGTATTTCATATTTTATGTCTGTCCTGTGTATTTTGATGACTGAGATTCTGTTAGATGATTCAATTGCTTAAGATAGTCTTAGGCTTGGTGAAATGAATTATGAATTCTTAAAAGAAATTCTGTTACCCTCAAAATATGTCTTTATTGCTCTTTATATGGGCGAACTGGTTTTGAAATGGGTATCCTATATATTTACACAGCTCTTAATGTGTTTTGGCCTCTTCAGTTGTTGACATCCTCTGTGGCGATGTTGGTAACCTATGTTGTTAATACACAGAAATTGGGCTGCAGGCATGCGTGCTTGATCCATGGAAAGGGAACCTCCTTTAACATCTGAAAGAATCCTTTTCTTTCAGGGACTCCGCAAAGTTTATCTGAATATTAGTTTGAAAACAAGGGCACTGCCTAATTTTGATTGGTTATTAAGAAGTGATCTGATTTCTTCGATGCATGCATCTGGCATCTTTATAAATGATATTTTGTCAACATAATGTCTGATAACCTGATATTTAATTTTTGGAGCAGCTCTCAGCAGAAAACCATCATTAATGCAATGGCTGTCAATGAAGATGGTGTTATGGCTACAGGAGGTACGCTTTAGTGTACTTTTTAGTTAGTAATAGGATGGTCTAAGCTCTGCCGATTTGTTGTCAGAAATCATAACATGGCAGAGTTTCTAACCAGATAGAGATAATCAATCAGAGTCCATGTCTAAAGCCTGACTTTTTGTGCCTACCAAACAGCCTGTCCATTAGGCCATAAAATCCCTAGGCTATTAATCCTTGGTTTTAGGCCATGATATCCTCTGACAGAACTCCATTTATTCCCAAAAATTGGTTTGTTTTCTTTTCTTTGGGTGGATAGGATGACCATTGACTTACTCCCTCACTTGTATCTGTATTGAAACAAAGTTTTTGATATTTACGAGTTTTTAACTCGTTTGTTTTAGGTGACAATGGGAGTTTATGGTTCTGGGATTGGAAGAGTGGTCATAATTTCCAGCAAGCCCAGACAATTGTACAGCCTGGTATGTCTCCCCTGAACTTTTTTTTTTTTTTGGTAGATTTGTTTGTGTGGAATCGAGAAGAGGTTTATGCTGAGATCTATTTTGCTCCAGGCTCATTGGATAGTGAAGCTGGTATTTATGCTATCTCCTATGATGTAACTGGTTCAAGGCTTGTTACATGTGAAGCTGACAAGACAATAAAAATGTGGAAAGAAGATGAAGATGCCACCCCAGAAACTCATCCCCTCAACTTCAAGCCACCAAAAGATATCCGGCGGTTCTAAGGATTATGTGCTTGCTCCTTTTATTTTTATCCCTAGCCTGCTTGTTTTGGTTTCCACTTTGTTACCGTTGGGTCACTTTTGGAGATACCCAGCTAAATAAAGTGAGCATTACTTTAGGTTAAAAATATATATATATATATATATATAGAAAGTCAAAACATGAGTCGCAACATTTCTGTAGTTTGGGCATGGGATCTCCTGATCCGGGTGGGGATAATTTGTCTTTGATCAAAGTAAGAGGTAGGCTTAGTCTTGATACTCATGGGCCATCTTCTTTTTGCAAATTAAGCTTAGGTGGTGTTCCTGGAATTTCAACCAAGATGTTAAATGGTAGTGACTGGACTGGACAAATAACTATTCTGTCCTAAGTGTTCTTATATTTGGTGCGTATTGGATTGGACAAGTAACTGGACAACTGTTCTGTCTTATGTTTAGTAAGCATGAGTCATAATGGAACAATAATGCCTTTGCTAATGTTTGGAGTGTGTATTCTAATATAGCTGTAGCTGTACTGGACAAGAAAAAAAAGTTCATTTAAATGATTTTTAATATGGTGTAATTATATTAATTTTCTTTGAAAATCGTAATCAAAGTCATTGTGTCTCGTGTTGTGGAGTTTATAATAATTGCAATTGCAGTGGTTTAATAATGTATTACATCGGTTAAATTCAGGCATTATAATTAAATAAAATCTGGAAAAATAGTTCGGTCACTTTGTAATATAACTTCGATGACATTGGAGTGTGGCCCAACTTTTTATTTGAGGAGGTTATCTTTTTTGGTCTAGGTTATTTTATTGGAAGATTAATTTGTCTACTCTAAATGAGCTTGTTCAATTTGAATTGCCTATTTTCGGAGTAGTGTATTAGTGTAGGAGTTTATTTTACATAAAATTATCTTTTATGGATTAGAGAGTATTGAGATAGAATTAATTAGTTCTAATTGAGTATGGAAATAACTTAGTGGTTGAATGTAACAAGGGTTTTGTTTTCTTGATGTGGTTGAATATGGGCATTATAAGTAGAACATTATGCTATGTAGAGGAACAACTTGTGATTTGATTAATGAAACTCAGAGAAATTTCTCTGTTTTGCTCGAGTGTGAATCAAGATGGTACTAATCGATTGACCAAATTTAACCAAATGATATAGTGGTCTTTTAAATTTTGTCAAGGTCATCTAAAGTTAAATCACTTGAGGTGTAGTAGAATTGCAAACAATTTTGTCAAAATCAATCAATAGCTAAGGATCCTTCAGCAGAGTAACAAGAAGTGTGTTAACAAAATTAATCTTAGGGTTTTTCTTCTTGGTCCTCTTAAAAGTCAGAATAACTATGGCTTCTTAGAAGGATGTGGAATTGTAAGGAAGTCCAGGGAATGCCATCAAGTTCTGAATGCAAAAGGGCATCATTTATGCAACATCAAATAATGGGAGGATACTAATTCCATGGTGTTTAAAATACAGAGTTACTGTACATAAAGACTCGGGAGAAAAAGATGAGATTTAGTTCAAAAATGCAAGGCATTTCGGCTACTGTAACTAACTAATGGTAGAAGCTAGAGCGCAGCTGCATCTTGCAAACCAATACAGTAGGTCAATTCTCCATGAAGTTAGTTCATGGACTGGAAGCGTTTCATAATGATGAGACTCATATCCATATAACGATGAGCACAGTTAGAAAGGCAAGATGTTTCACTTGAGCTGAACTTGCTCCCAGGTGAACTTGTGATGCATTTGTCCCAGCATGCACTTGTAAGCTTTGCCACCATCTCGTTAACCATAGCTCTTTCCTTCTCTTGCTGCAAAACCAAAAAAAAAAAAAAAAAAAAATCATTCTGAAATGAGAATCACATGCATAGATGTAGAATATCAACGTTCTATTAGAGGCGAAAACAACAACCATCCCACTTTCATCACTACCATCAGATACTCAAATTACAAAACAACACTCCTCTCCATTAGTCTTCGTTGCAGTTACCTCGAATTTATCACATCATAATCACTCATAAAATAGTACAATCACCTATACAATTAGGTCCTCGATAGCCAAATGACAGTTCTGAGTTCTTTACTTCCAAGTCGTATAATGTAGTGTGATAACGTAAAACTGCACTAGCAGCTTCCTTCAAAAAGAACGATGAGCCAACAAGTGGTACTACACGAGGATAGTCATCAAGGTTATCCTCCATACCAATAATGAACCGAAGCTGTATTTAAGAAAATTAACTATACTCGTCAAATCAGCAAAAATTCTTGAACACTCAAATTTTGCACTAACCCCATTATCCAAATTATCAAAACAGATCAAATACCGGATCAAGTTTGAGTCTTTTAACAATAACAACTAAATACAGTACAAAGATTAAGGTAAAAATTATGCAAACCAGTTAACTAACCAGTGAACTAATAGCAATGACAGAAAAGATTAGACCTTTGGTGAATTAAAAACAAGACCATATTCTTACCAAGAAAATAAAAATCCTCAGAGTAAATCTTTGAAAAAATCAAGCTCAAGAAAACAAAAGTTGGGAAGTTGTAAAAAGATAAAAAGGGATTCTATACTTACAGAAAGGAACTGTTCCAATTCCGCTGAATTTAGCGATGAAGGATCCATTGTTTTAGTTTCTTTGGATTTTCTATCTGGGTAGCTAGCCTAAACCCCTGTTCTTAGTTTGACGACTGCTACTTTCAAAAACCCTAAACCAGCGCCGCTCTTCGTAGCCAGAAGAAAGAGTAGGAAAGCGGTTACGGAATGCTTCTTGGGCTTAGGTTCAGTGGGCTACGTACTAAAATACCAAGTCTTTTCAAAGTTACATTTACAACCCAAACAAAAGCCCAAAGCTTATTGGGCTTCGGTTCAGTGGGCTACTAAAATACCAAGTCTTTTCAAAGTTACATTTACAACCCAAACAAAAGCCCAAAGCCATCTCTCTCTCTCTCTCTCTCTCTCTCTCTCTCTCTCTCTCTCTCTCTCTATATATATATATATAAAACTAGGGATAATTTCTCTATCATCTTCACCTCAAACGGCACGGGAGAGAAAAAGATAGAGGGTCATCCTACTTTCGCTTCGTATCTCGTTCGAGGTGTATTTTAGGTATCATCTCAATCTCAAACGAGACATGGCGGTGCAAGACGGGACGGATTGCAATCCCTATATATAACTAAAAAGTTACACTAAATTACAAACTCGATCATTGTTTTTATGGTATGGTGATGTGGCCACATTCTTTCTTTGATTGATGAAATGAATCCATTGTTTTCTTCAATAAATATTCAAGAAAAAGTAAGTCCAACAGATCATTTTCATGCAAAACTCTCTAGGCCTCATAGAGTTACAGATTTAAGGTTGAGCCATAGCAAAAATTGGATTACTAACGTGTTTAACATCTTTTTTTGTTCATGACATGGATCAGATTTGGTGATTGGTTGGTCATATATGGATTATATTTATGAAAGCAAGCGTGCTATGAAATTATTAATTAACCTTTGTATAACACGAGAAGCAACGCATGCAAATTGATAAAGTGGATCAACTGCATATTTGTGAAACGAAAAGTGTGCACCAAGGTCACACATAGACTAACTTTCTTATGCATTAAGCATCACCCTTTTTTTTTTTTATTTACTGTCAAGCAATTACTAAATTGACGATTGATGCCTAATAAAGAGAGGTTACATGTATGATTGTCAACATACTGACCAAAAAATAGTAACGTAAGGGATTCATAATATAATCATAAGGTGATAGCTCGTTAGTAAGCAAGTGTTAATTTGTAGACTAAGTCTAACGTTCGATACTTGTGATCAACACTTCTGAAAATTTATCCTTAAAATATCCGAGATCGTATGGTAAGGAGTACTCTTTACCTACGTCTAGAGAAGAATTAATCTTGAGGTACATAAAAATTGACTCGAAAACGTTTTTACTCGCTTAACTAAAAAAAGAAGAAGTTATTTTACACAATTGGGTTCATCTTTTCCCCTCCTTAAATTTCTCTACACATCTTGATTCTTGAAAGCAATTAAGATTCAAAATTAAATAATTGATACTCCTAAAGTGTTGTTTGGTTATTCAAAATAAAAATTCGAAATGAGAATGCGAAGTTGAAATGAAAATTAAAAAATGAAAATGATATTTGCATTCTCATACTATGTTTGCTATATATAATTTTCGTTTTTATTTTCAATTTTCATTTCATTTCTTTCAAGCAAATAATTATAAAGTGAGAATCAAACTTTCATTTTCATTTTCTACTTTTCTATTTTTAATAACCAAACAACACATAAAAAAGGTTAGAGAAAGGGACAAATATACCCACCAACTTCTGCCCCCTTATCAATTAAGTCCTGAATACATAATTTTCCCAATAAAATCCCCCACCTAATTACACATTATCCAATTCATTTAAATTTGATCCCAAATTTTTATAATTCTCTCTCGAGTTTTAATTAATGATCATCAGGGTATTCTTGAAAAAATATACTTATATTAAAACTATTTTTTTTATCGTGGTTTAAACAAATTATCCATAATTAATGTAATATATTCACGAGATTTTATATTTTTAACCTTTCCTAAAATTTGAATATCGATAATAACACCATGAAAACTTACTTGTAGAGGGAGTTGCTGACAAATCAGGAACATTTAGTGCAGTTAGTAACATCAACCTAACTCCCATGAGTAGAAAGAAATGACAATCATGAAAAGAAATTGCCGAGCCAACTAGTTGAAGTTATATTGTGAAGACTAAAAGCTGAGGGGAAGCAATGTTTGACGATATAAATTATGTACACATGAAAAGATTGCAGACTCAAAAGGTCACAAAAATGCATGTCTTTTGTTGTTGTTGTTGTGTCAAGAAATGGCTAACAATCATGTACAAAATTTAGCTGCTTTTTTTTTTTTTTCTTTCTTTTTTCCCCCGGGGGAAGGATCTCAAATTCTCAATCAACAGTACATGGAAAGAGAAAAGCAACATCTTCGCAACGAAGTAAAGTACCAATCCCCATGTCCTACTTAGGAAACGATCTCCTTTGACTTTTTATCCTTTCCAAGCCTTTTGCCTTAACCTTATAAAAGCATGACTTTTTATGGGTTTTCTTCCAAACTCAACTCATTAAAATCTCTCAACAGTTCATGGGGAATTAGCATTCTTGCAAAATAGGGAAGAGGAACGTTACGTCTTTGTTTCAAGTCTTGTCTTTGCTATACTTTCATTTTTAAATATATTTTAAAAAAGCATTAATTCCCTCTAAAAAAAGAAAAACCATGTAAAATACCCGTACGTAAGTAGACATTTATAATAAGAATTGATCGATGGCTACAATGTTTGTGCATAAACTAAGTTTTATCCACTCTGGAAAGTGAAGAATTGAGGCTCTTTAGCATTGAAGTTTCTTTTATGTATATAATTTTTGGAAAAAAAGGTGCTTTAAATTCAAAATCTTGAGCCACTATAAGGGAGAAAAAAAGAAAAAAAAAGGACTTCGAGGTGGAAGAAAAGTAGAAGCAATATAAGAAAAGGAAACGGGTAAGAGATCATTTTGTAACTTTGCAGGTCACTTCGAGAACTTATATGATCGTATCGTTTGCCTTGGCATGGTATCTATACAGTGGTGCAATGGCAGGAAAGGATACAATTATTTGGTCCATCAAATTTTCTCAGTTCAAAAAACATGGCAACTTAATTGATCAATGGTCCCAGTTAAAGAATAAGGCCTTAATTATCACATAGACTGCCTTTTTTTTTTTTTTTTTTTTTTCAATTGTGTTTTATGCACACAATGTAGCTTGCATGACTTTGCTAATTATTTCCCTAAGATAACATTTATCATTTTTATTTTTTATTCGATGATAAGAATATCATTAGACTAGTTTATACCTTGAGATTAAATCTCTCTCAAATATCTCTTTCTTGATTTAAACCCTATTTTTTATTCTTCAAGAAATTATGCTGTATTCATACATTATTGACTTTCATGCAGAGATGTAAATGCAAAGCATGAAGCAGATTCTTTTTTCACTATATATATATATTGTTGATTTCTTGTGTTTCTCTTTCAAATGTAGAATAACTAGGGATGGCATCATATGACTTCATTCATACGAGGTTCGGGTCTATCCCAAAACTGAAAAAACTTCTGAATTTTGAAAAAATAATTATGAAAAAGGACCAACCTTTTAAATAGTATCCTACTGCATGTGCCTCAATTTAATTCAATCCTAAATATATTAATGTCCATTGACAAAAGGGTTTTTGTTTACTTGCACGTCTTTAACATTTGTGACCTAATTAAGAACGTTAGATGCTTCATATTTCAGTAAAAGCTAATTAAAAAGGTAAATGCCTGTTAAATTTAATTAGGACTTTTAATTTGGAAATTTTAGATCAAAATAATACTCATTGTGTACTTTCTTTTAAAATAATAATAACTTAAGATCTAATGAATCTCCAAACCTTTTTTATTTGTAATAAAGAAAAAAACTAAATATATTAATTGAGTTACAAGTTTATTATTATTTTTTTATATAGTTTTTTTTCCAAGTATTTACATCCCACAATATCGACGATATGATTAAATTCGCATTCAAATCAACTTGTTTATCACTAAGCCAACAATTTGTTGGTGTATTATTTTCTTTTTTAAATTATTATCAATTGTCGTTCTAATCGACTCAGATATAAATACCAATTGAGCTATAAATTCTTTTTCTTTTCTTTTAATCAACTAATAAATATATATCCTTTTTGTCAAACAAACATATTTTCTTGTTCTAAAGTGTCCCTTAAAAATATTGCTGCTTTACACGCCACAAACATCACCATTGCTATAAATAGCCCTCTCTTTTCTACTACAATACACCCAACCCAAACTACCTCTCGTGCATTCCAAATAGCTGCATTTGGTTGCTTAAACATTACCTTATTTGAGCAGCCAAAGCCACGTTCCTTTCATGAGAGGATTCGATATGGAAAAATTCAACTTTGTTAGAGATGGAATGATCAGATTGCCTCCTGGTTTTCGTTTCCAGCCAACTGATGAAGAGCTTGTCTTTCAGTACCTTCAACGCAAAATCCTTTCATCTCCATTGCCTGCTTCAGTCATTCCTGAGGTCAATGTCTGCAAGTATGATCCCTGGGAATTGCCAGGTTAGTCTAATGTTATAATATTCTTCGATATTTTGCCTGTGTAAGTACTTCTCTGCCTTCATTGGAAGTTAAAAGAAGTAATCATGCATGTGTTATAGGTGATATGGAGCAAGAAAGATACTTCTTCAGCATCAAGGAAGCCAAGTATCCAAATGGAAATAGAGTCAATAGAAGTAGTGCTTCAGGTTATTGGAAAGCAACTGGCCTAGACAAACAAATTATTTCTTCAAGCTGGAAGAATAACCATGTTGTGGGGATGAAAAAGACTCTTGTTTTTTATAAAGGGAAAGCTCCACATGGGTCTAGAACTGATTGGGTCATGCATGAATATCGCCTTGTTAATGTAGGAGCAGAAACTACAGATTGCAATTTTCCAGAGACAGATAACTCAGCCCAGGCAAGTTATTGATAATACTTTATATATGCAACTGTACTGTCTGCATTCTGTAAATAGATTTTTCTGATCATTCCAACAAAAAATTTTCATATTTTATAGTTTCTGACTTTAAGAATGTCGATCACTTATTGTCTCGTTATTTTCACTGAATAACATTAAGTTTGACGTTGTCTGCAGAAATCTTCGCATCAATTGGACAAATGGGTTGTATGCAGAGTATTCCTGAAAAACAAAGACGCAACAAGAACTGAGATAATTGGAACTTGTACAAATAACAATGCTAGGGGAACTCTTTTTGATTTTATGGCGAGAGACGAGATTGTTTTTGATTCATTTTCATCTTCTTCATCTTCGTATTCGAGCTCTAGCAGTATCCCTGAGATCTCTTCAAATGAAGAAGATCATGAGCAAAGCAGTAGCCGCAATTTCTTCTGAACATGTTATGTAAATAAACCAAAGGCATGGCATGCTTTTATCGTTATATGTCCCGTCTTCGTTTTGTCCATTAAAGGGAATGGATGTATTACATATATTGAAGAAAATTATGTAACAATTTCTTTGAAGGTACTTTAGTTGAAGGAATGTTGGTTGTTTGAATTTGCAGACTAAAAATTGTGGTGAAAATAATTTCTGCATTTTGTTCTAAAAAAGGGGTTTTGCCATCCATTTTGATGTAGTAACAAATATGAGGTAAGACTAACATTCATATTCCCATCTCCTAAGAGGTATCGACTTTCGAGTTCGAGCATTTCTCATATGTATATATATATTTTTTTTTAAAAAAAAAACCAGATAATTCTTCCAGGAATCTTTTAACGGTTAATATAAGAAGACAATAGATTTTCCAAAGAGGAGATTATACAGCAATCTGGTTTATGATGTATCTGATATCAATAATAGATTTATTTTTCAATTAAAAGCATTCTGCAATGCCGGAAGTTATCTTGGTTTGGACAAAATTAAAATTTAATTTTTATTATTTATAAAGAACTAATCATAATTGTTGTTTTTTTATTAACATTAGACTTAGGTTGGCTTAATTTACTAAGAACTTCGTTGGTCAACAGAAAGATCATATTCTGACAATAATGAATTTAATTTTAATTAATACGAAAATCGATTTGAGAATAGCTCACTACCCATAATCATATAAGCATTTTGCAGTCAGGCCAGTTATGATGGGTCAAGATGCAATCACTCACACCCGAACATAAGAGAGGCAGTCGTTTGGCATTCATCATTTAGAGAAGGAAAACGAATTACAAATTATACCTAATTGATACGAATTAAGCCAAGAAGAGCACAACAGATTAATTAGCTTCTTATGTAAACTTGATCTATATGTATGCCAAAAAAATTAAGTAGATGGGTATAACTTCTTTTCTTGTTATATGATTATTTCTTCTTCTTCTTCTTTGTTTTTTAATAATTGAAAATTTGGAACTCAAGAATTTTTTAATGAAAACTGTATATGATGCCATTGGTAAATAATATGATTAATTTGATCGACATAGAATATATATGTGTGCGAGTTCCTTCAACTTTCTCACATCAATATCAGATAATTATCGTTCCCATCTACGGTCTATTCTCAAGGATTCCATGACTTTTAAAGAGAATCTATTTTTCAAAAAGGAGAAAAAAATGTAAATGTAGTGAGCGATCGATATATAAATCAAGTGGTATCAACTTTGTTCAAAGTAGTTTCCTTTTTCAGCATAGAATCTTATATAATAGAAAGAACTCTGCACATGGGGTTCCCTTAATGATTCCTTTTCGAAATTTTGTGAACTTAAATTCCTGTATACTTCCTTTATATTTGCAAAAGTTGATACTCATGAGTCGGACAAGCATCACTGAGGCTAAAATAATCTGTTTCCTTTAGTTCCCTTTATATTTCTGAATTAAGAAAGTGTCAACTACTGAATCAGGTTCTTAAAAGTTATTAAATTATATCAATGCATGCATGCATACAGCTTCCATATGTCGTGAATCCTTTCAAGGTTAAAACCTTTGTTCTTTACTTCTAATGATCTTCGATACTTTCGATGGATATGCTTTTTCTTGTACTTTGTTAGCTTATGTTTCCTGACGAGGTTGTAAAAACTTCAAATGATGACGTGATTTTTTCACAGGTGTGTATAGATAGTGTTTGTAGGCTGGTGGTGGTTATAATGACTACAATACCTATAAAACTATTGGGAAAAATATTTCTATAAATCGAAATGACAAGCCATAAGTTTCAAATCCTTTTCTCTTTTTTGCCATTAAAATTAGAATCCATCAATTAATAAAATAATAATAATAATAATCAATCACAATTAACAAAAGGAATTTTTACATAAAAATTTCAATATGAGAAAAACTACGAGACTATAGTCCAGTCAAACTCTTTAACTGTATCAAATTAATAATAAGAAACAAAATTTTTTTAACTTAATTAAAGGATATATATCAAAATATTATAGTCATCATATCAATAATAAATTTCAACAACAACAACAGAAAAAAATTTAAAAAAAAAAATTAGATCTCACTAAATAAATTTTTAGAAAATACCCAAAGATGAATTTTTTTTTTTTTTTTACAATCAAGATAGTTAAAATAAAAAAACTTCTCATCCAAAACAATATATTGAAATTTCATCTTGATCGAATTTGAAATCACCATACAATTAAAACAATAAAAATAAAAAATACATTTTTTTCTTCTTTCGTCTCTCGACAAAAACTCTCCCTTTTCTCCTTTTCATTTTGCTTTGGTCGGCTGCACTACTCTCTCTTACTAAGAAAGAAAGCCAAATATTTGGCGTTTATATCACTTCAAGAAAAAGATTTATTAGCGACGGTCAAAAAACCGTTGCTAATTACTAAAATTTGCAACGGTTTTACTAATTTTAGCAACGGTCTAAAAAACGGTTGCTAATTTTTCAATTTGTGACCGTTTTTTAGCAACGATCTACAAATCCGTTGCTAAATTGATAGGTTAAATTTTTTTATAGCAATGCGGATCGTTTTAGCGACGGTTTTCATGAAAAACAAACCGTTGCAAATTTAGCAACGGTCCACCCCGGTAGTAAACCGTTGCTAAAGAGATAAAAGCATAAAAAAAACCCTTTGTGATTTCAACGGTTTTTTTAACAAATTGGGTTTAGCGACGGTCCAACCCATTTTCTAAACCGTTGCTAAAAATACAAAAATATTTTAGTAACAATTTTCTACAAAAAAACCATTGCAAAAAAAATTAAGACTTTAGCGACGGTCTTGGACCATTGCTAATACATTTCAAAATTGTCATGGTCGAAAAAGAAAGAAAATACCCCGATTAGCAACGGTTTTTAAACCTAAAACCGTTACAAAAATATTCGATTTAGCGACGGTCCGTGACCGTCGCTAAACCGTTGCTAATATATTTAGCGAGGGCCTAGACCGTCGCTAAACCATTGGTAACGTAATTAAATTTTTGTTTTGCAATGGGTTTTTCAAAAATAATCGTTGCAAACACGGAATTAGCGACGGTCAATCCGTCGCTAACATTAAACCGTTGGTGGGAAACGATCAAATTTAATTTCAAATTTATTATTAGCAACGGTTTAGTGACGATCCGTGACCGTCGCTAAAAAATTTACCTTTTAAAACTACCGAGTCTCCCCAAAATCCGCAATTCTCTCTCAAACGATCCTCTCTTCTTCTCCTTCGGCAAGAACTAGATCCGTTAATTTTTTGCTCCAATCTTCTCCTCTCTTTCCTCAAAGCATTTGTATCCTCAAAATATCGCTCTTTCTTCCCTCTTTTCCTCCTCCTTTCCTTCTTTTCCTCTCCGGCGTTCAACCCGTCATTCTTCGGCGAACAAACTCCGATGAGGTCTCACCGTGGTAGCTGCCCCCTCTCATCCTTCTCTTGGTGACAGGTCCACCTAAATTTAACCTCTCCTTTCAATTTTTAATTTTTTCAGTTATTTAGTTAAGTAAAATAATTTATTTTATTTTTTATTTTTTAGTTTAATTACTTATTATTGTTAGTTTAATTATTTAATTGATTATTTATTGCATGTGTTTTTTTTTACTTGATTATTTAATTAATATTTTTTTGATGTGTTATTTTAGTGTTAATTGTGATAGTTAATTGAAATGTTTAATTGTTAATTGTTATGTTAATGTTGTTGTTAATTCTTGATTAATTGAATATTATTGTTAATTATTGATTTTACTTTTATTTTTATTTTTAGTTGTTGATTGAACTAATTTGATTGTTAATTGTGAATTTACTTAGTTTAATTTATTGTTAATTGTTTTAGTTAGAAAATATAATTGTTATATATTATTTTATGTTGTTATTTTAATTGTTATTGTTATTAGTGTAGCTTCTAATTGTTAATTTATTTAAGTTATTGTGATTAAGTGATTAAAAATTAATTGAAAACATGATTAAGTTAAAGTGTTAGGTAATTAAAAAATTAATCAATAAATTAAATTTTAATATATTGTTATTTTGTTGATTAAATATTAAGCTTATATATTTAGTTGTTCATTTCGTTAAATAGATAAGTAATTACAATATTAATTAAGAAGAAAAAATATAGCGTTTTTTCGAAATTATTTTCAATAGATTAAAAATTAAGTTATTAAAAATATTTTTAATGCATATTAATTAATTTTAAAAATAAATCGTATTAAAAAAATTAATATATACTTGTTGAATATAGTTTTATTACATTATTAAAAAAAAATCATAAGTGCTTAAGGTTACAATATGGTTCATTAATTAAGTTAAGTGTTAATCAAGTAATTATAAATATAATGAAAAAATTAAATTTTAATTAAATTGTAATATTAATTTATTTAGTCAATTTATATATTTTTTAAGTAAATAAGCTTATTTAGTTGATCATTACGTTAAATAGTTAAGAAGAAAAATTTTTAGTTTTTCCGAAACTATATTAAATAGATCAAAAATAAAGTTATTAGAAATATTTGTAATTGTTAGTAATTAAATAAATAATTAAGTTGTATTTAAAAAATTGATATATACTAAGCTTGTTCATTAAAAAAATAACTTGTGTCTAACAAAAAATATTTGAGATTTAGTAATAAAAGTTTTTTAAGTAATTACAAAAACAATTAATACTATAATTTTTATTTGTTTAAAATGAATTCGGATCGCTCTTTGATTGACTTTAGATTAACCGATGGATTATTAAATGAGCGTTTCGTAGAAGAGGTTAATGAATTTATTAATTTTGCGGTTAGTCATTCACGAGTGCATGGATGAAAATAAGATACGATGTCAATGTAAACAAAAAAATATCAAAATCGTAGTTATGAAAACCTTGATATCGTTAAGTATCATTTGTCGAGATATGAGTTTGTGTCTCGGGTATTATGTGTGGAGACATCGGGGAGAGAATAATTTAGCAATTAATTATAATTCGTTTAA